TGTTCTTTTCCGTCTATCCCAGAAATTCACTATTGAGAGGCCACGCCTTTGGTTTTATTCCAAAATCAACCAAGTAGTATTTTTTAATATTTAGATTGATATGAAGTCTGAAGATTGTTGATGTGAAGCATATTTAAGGAGGAGGGAAGTCATGTTCATTGGCTTTGTTTGTATAATCTCATCACAACCACACGTTTGTAACTATTATTGAAGAGATCATGGTCACCGGTGTTTAGAGACACTGAGCGATATGACTGGGTGTCGCAAACAGTGGCGCTCCCATCCATCTACTCATTATTCTTGCAACCTTAATCTATATAAATTCTCTATCTTCCGCTTGAATTTGCTCTCAACATTTCAATCTTCATTCTGCTCCTCTATCCAAATGGGTGACCAAAAGACAGCAACCAAAACCGGCGCACAAAAGTGCATGGTTAATGGTTGTAAAAACTGAAAAACTGATTATTGGGGAAAATGCTAAATCCTGTTGGAATGGTCTTTATCATGTGTGTGTGGGGTGGGGGCGGGGGGGGAATCGATTTCTTCCGTCATTGAAGGACAAGGTACCTTCCACAGACTTTTCACTTTCATCCCCTTTTTCAATTTGTCGCTGACTGTCCTCTCGGTCGCCATGAATTATATTTATTTGATCGACTTGATGACGTATTTCTGGTCGGTAACGGTGATTGTATCGCTTGTTAAGTGTTTGTTTTCACTCGGAACCTAACTCGCGATCAGAGTTGACCACTTCACTGGTTCTCTGTCTGTCGTCGTTCAAGCCTGTTTGCTCCACACTGTCGATGATCGTATCCGATACTTCGCTGCTTGATCGGTGCATCAGTACTCGAACTGTGTAAACTTCTCTCTATTCGGTTCAGTTGTATCTGTAGATCGACATGTACGTATTCGACCTTACACTTAGGTGCACAAAAAATATCCTATTCGTCGATCAACAAAAGTGAGAACGGAAGAGAGTGAGAGAGAAGGAGGGCAATGACCACAGTGTGTTGTGTTGTGAGAGTTAAATGGGTGGATACGTGCACACAAAATGGACAAAATCGAAACAATCACAAACTAATTAGGTCTTGTGTTATGTTGACGATTGGTCGTATGATGCGTCAGTTGTTTCTCGCCCGCTGAACCAATCGGGTCTTGAGCGAACTCTCGCATCGTCTGTCGTCTGTGCAATCCAATTAAAAGGCCGGGGCTAATCCGTACCACCGTACAGTGCCCACTCAATCGGGGGCGAATCCCAATTTACGCGGTCCCTTTTCTTCTCTCCTACAAAAGTCGCAGTTGATGTTCTAATTCGTGGTCATAAGACCGGACAGCTTCATCCGGTGTTCATGTGCATTACGAACGATATGGCTGATCATGGCTGTTGGTGCGTGCACGTTCACCGGAATTGTGACTTTGTTTATTCTGTGCCGCATGACACACGCATGATCGATGAACGTCTCCGTGTCCATGGCCCACGTGCCTCACACGAAAACACACTTCAGCAACGTTCCATCTATCCGGGCTTTCAGTTATATACGAAAAGGTCGAACACATCAGGCAGGCAGGCAGACAATATGTTCAAACGAGTTTTCCCCCGGGTCTGGTCGGTATTTCTTTTTCATCAGTCAATTCGGATCACGTGACGAGGTAAACGCGTCACTTTCAGTTTGAGTCCATTGTCATCCCTCTCTCTCTCTCTCTCCCTCTGTCTACCCGCATCTGATGACATCTTGCGTAGGAGACTGTTTTGCCGTGCCTTATGAAGTGTGCTAGAACGTCAGTGCTCCCTGCTCGAAAAATTGGTTCATCCGTACCGTCTGTTGTGTGTGCACGCGCGCCCGCGTGTGTCCACGTCTGAAGTGGAGACGATCCAATTCGGTCTCATCATTGCATCGGTGTCTAGACAATCGCAGTGAATCAGAAATTGGACAGTATCCGATCCCGGAACTTCAATTCCCTTTTCTCCAGATTAGCTGATGTACATATATTCAGTACATGTATATTTAAAATGTACAATCACTCATCGTTGTCGGTTGATCCGAGTTGATTCGGGTAGATACTGCCTGAACCACGTGGCTTCTTTCCAGGTCGGTCTGGACGTGAAAGCTTTGCGAATGGAAACTTGAACACAAATCAGACTTAACTTTTTCTGATGGAGTAAAAATTTGATGGAACTCATCAAATTAGACCCGTTCGTCTACCGATCTGAAATGCATTCTTCTCATTAAACCGCTATTAGCTGATCTATCGTCTATTTCTTTGGTATTCTCTTACATTGACACAGTGTGAATCGATCTGGCACAACTCAAACAAACCACAGCCGTATCATCTGTGAGTTGTCTGCGAACTACTACACCACTGCTCCAGCGATAGTGTCTCCCTATTTCACAACNACCTTCCGGATCAACTTCGAACAGACCGTGATTGAGTGGTATAGGTTAAACGTTCGATCCCACAAATCAACACCATTACCCTACTTTCTCATCTATTGATTGAGTGCCTTCTATTAGTCGCGGCTCTCTTCGTGACTAATGAACAAACACGTGAATATCAAACAAGGGGGAACTAAAGCATGATATAATTATCAACATTAATATTATCGATATCCTAACGGAACTGTCCGGTAAGAGCTAGTTACCGGGTTAAGTGCCGAAAATTTCGTTCGAATTTACTGGTCCGTGTTCGCACTAATCACTGTGCACATTTTCATGGGAAATGCATAGCTTAAATTAACGAAAGCGAAACGGTAAGAGTAACAGCACTACGTAATGCTTTCCAGCTTTCTCGAAATCAAAAGACATGTCTCCTGAATTTCCGTTTTCTCTACATGGTAGCATCGTTTTTTTACATCTGATTAATTCTAGCATCACGGTTGGAAATATTGTGAACTGCCCTGGAAGATTATGTTCCGGAAGTTTATTTCTTTGCGCCGAATCTGAGAATATGGACAGAGGAGGCCTCGTTCGTTCGACCTAGTTCAGGGTCGTCTCACCTCTCATTTTCCGCCCAATCTTGTAATGGATTTGATTCCTGAACCTTGTGCGGGGATTGGGGCAATGACGTATCCCTAGGTGGCAGGCTGTCTGATCTGCGGACGACAATGTAGTGATACTACATTGTCGTCCGCACATCCATCCAATGGATCAAGTGGATGAGTGTGGCTATTTGAGCAGCTACGTCTCATCAACAGGACTGGTCACAGATTGTTTAGGCACGCATGCAGAAGGCTGGTTTCGCGTTTGTTAACTGGAGACATGTCTGGCGCCACGCCGATATTTGTTTGTCCCTGAACGATCAAGTAGTGTATGCTACAGGTGTCCGATCTGTTCTTCTGTTTGGTTCAGTGACATGGCCATGGCGGAGGACAGGATAAAAACAGATTACCGGCGCTCAAACAGCGCTGTCCATATCGCGTTGCTTGAGTACGGTGAAATAATCGGACAAGCTGTGACAAGGCTAGGTAATGAGTATTACGTAATCGAAGTCAATTGCTTGATCTCCGTACGGTAAAATTTCTGGGGTACCAGACAGGCTCCCTCAATGTGGAATGTTTGCAGGGGATCATAGTAGTGCGTGGAAAAGATACAAGTGTTTCAAACTAAGGCAAAGTATGACAGTATGAAAACCGTGATCAGCGCCGACTTGGACACGTATGAGTCGAGTCAGGCTTCCCGGTGGGTGACCAGGTTATCGGTGGCGTCGAGGATTGGAGACACTGAATGATATGGATGAATGTCGTAAATGGGTGGGGCTCGTGCATCCCCTCTATTTCTTCGCGAATTTAGTCTAATTTTATCCTGTGCCTTTGCACTGGCACTGCTTCCCGTTTACTGATCATTTCCTCTATTTCTTCTTCCAAATGAGCAAGCAGAAGACAATGATCAAAATAATGCATGGTTGTGGAATGGAAACTGAACTCTACTCGAAGTACTTGTCAAGAAAATGAAGCTCCACTGGCCGTCGTCAAAGTTTTAATATGGGAAATACTTACAAGCGGTTGGTTTTCTAGTCCTATAGGGTTGAGCACAGATGAATCGATTCACGGTTCATAGATAGCTCAGGAATGTCACAATTTATCCTTGTTTCGTGCTCTGCCACGGATGTTGAAACTTGAGACTTGTCAAAGCTTCATCCAGTTTTTGCTTGAAGGTGTCAATTATGGGCGCAGAAACAACGTGGAGTGGTAGAGAATTCCAAGTAATGCACATTCTGAGGACGAATGAATGACGCCGGAGTATTTATTTATTTATTTATTTGAATGAGTGCCCCCTCTGATGAATGTTGGGTGACGAGGCAAAGAGTGGACGACATGGGTGATCTGGGTTCTGCATAATTTGATACACCAAGATCAAGTCCCCTCGAATGCGGCGATACTGTGTGGAGTATAGTTGCAGTGATTCCAGTCTTTCTGCATAACTCTTGGAATGCAGTCCCTTGACCATTTTGGTAGATGTTCCAGAGTCTTCCGATCGCGTTGCAGCCATTGATTCATTCCATGCTTGAATGGCATACCCTATGTGGGGTCGAATGTAGGCTGATAGCAATCGTTAGGGGCAGAGTTTTGGGTAAATACGGTCGCCCACTGGAGCAAGTGGTCGACCTCCATAGATTACGTTGGCTGGGACATGTGTTACGCATGTCACCAGGTAGGTTACCACGGCGAGCGATGTTCGCCGAAGCAGAAACCGAGTGGAAAAAAGCCAAGGGTGGTCAAGTTAAGACCTGGCACGAGGGTATGAAAACCCTAACCAGGAAACTGGGTCACATAGGTCCTGTTAGGCTCCCTCACTGTGGACCTCGGGATGATGGTCACCGGTGGTTAGCTACCCTGAGTGATATGGACGGGTGTCACAAATAGTGGCGCTCGTGCATCTGCTCAATTTCTTTCCAACCTTAGTCCACTGAACTTCTCCATTTTCTTTTCGACTCCACTTTCAAGTTTCTTTTCTTCTCCTATTATTCATCCAAATGGGCAGCTAAAAGACAGCAACCAAAACCGGCGCACGAAAGTGCATGGTTGATGGTTGTTGAAACTGAAACTGAAACTGATAGCAATCGTAGGAACATCATTAGCTCAAATTTGCCAAATACTCGTTTTAGCAAACCAACATGTCTTACAGAAGTGGACGATGCCCTGGAGCAATTTAAAAAACAACTTAGATCGTCTTAAACAATGACATTGAGACCTTTTTCATTCGAGACATAAGGAATTTGTTGATCTCCCAGGAAATACAGAAACCGAGTTTTATGTTGAAGGGATACGACCGTACATTTCGATGCCTTAAGTTTCATGTCGTTTTCGATCGACCATTGATAGGCAGCATTAAGTGTTCTTTGGAGTTCTAGCGAGTTCTCTGGTTTTGTTCCCGTTTGCCATATTCTTGCATCGTCTACAAACATTAATGTTTGTGGCTCAAGAATGTCCATTAGATCGTTTATAAAAACAAGGAAAAGTTAAGGATCCATGTGAAACTCCTCATGCTACGATGATAGGATCAGAAAGTAACCCAGAAATCCGAACTGCCGTGATGCGTTGCCGAAGAAATTCTTCTATCCAGCCCAGTGGAAGTTCCCGAATTCCGTAATTGTGTAGTTTCCTCAGCAGTATTTTGTGGTTCACTCGGTCGAATGCTTTGGACAAGTCGAGGTACACGACGTCCACTACATCACCGTGATCAGCTGCTTTTGTCCACTCTTCTCGGGCCAGTAGCAGGTTAGTGGTACTTGATCGCCTGCGACGAAATCCATATTGAGCAGGGGATAACACGTATTTTTCCATGTGACTTATCACATGGTCTGCAACAATGGATTCCACGAATTTGAATAATACAAGTAGGAGAGTAACTCGACCCTTCACAGATAAGCTAGATGTCACGACAGTCTCAGAGATGTCTCAAATTGGCAAACACCGACCGGTCTATTAGTGATGAGTTCTTCCGATCGAATGTAGCTATCCAGATAAACAAGTTTGTCTGCTTTCTCTATTGCTTGCTTATTCGGGATAAGATTGGGAGCTGAATCAACCTAGCCCAGAGGCAACAATTTGCACTGTGAAGGTGCAAAACACATGCCAACTGTTTCTGCGCTACCACTCAAACCATCCCCCCAAAAGATTGTAACTCACCTGCATCGTTTGCTTAGCAGTACCATGTCGTCTGCATACTCCAGATCAAACAGCCCATCGATCCCGCTATCCTCGCACGAGAACAGAATAGCTCCCGGAAGCCACATTTGAGAAAGAGGTTTTTCTAAATGGATTTTTTTTCACTGTACTTCCTTTTATTGAATGCACAAAGATACATTTTCAGGAAGGGGGAGGCGGCCAATCAAAGGGCTGCCATTGAACACACCCAATGGGGAAAGTCAGGCGGTGATGGTGGGATTCGAACACATCCCAGGGGTGATAATTTGGGGACGTTGCCACCGGGCCACCACTGCCCGATCTTCGGGCCGCACACATACTTTACGGTATCCCGCACTGACGAGGGACTTTCTTTTTTAACTACCCTGTAACCATAACCTTCGATTCAAAAGTTTGATCCACAAGGCAATGGGGCGTTGAATCAGCGCTTGTGATATGACCGGAGCGTCTCTGTAGGCGCTTCTAGAGGCCTGTCGCACGAGACCTTCTTGTTCTGGTTCAATGTGTTTTTCGTTGATTGACGGTCCGCTGATCGAGATCGACCGTTAATTTCATGCACCCAATGAGAAACAAGCGGAACATGGGTGGCTGTCTAGGTTGGATGGGTGCAGCATGGTGCAGCACTGGAAATATTCCCGTGGTTCATGGCAACCTTCCAAAGCACTTAACTCGATCTAAACGTCAGACGTGTTGTGTTCTTTGCGTCCAGAATGATGTGTTTATTATTCTCTCAACTGCAGATGACAAATTACAGACGAAGGCTACCCAAGTATATAGACGATGGCTAATAAGCTACCGGGAGACCCGCACAAAATAGTGAACCTGCCCGTAATTAGGAGGACCTATTATTCAGTTTATGACCACACCAATAGTCTGAGCTCTGAGACTTGGATTGGTAAACCAATTAAGGCCCTACCTAGAGGGAGAAGTGAGATATCGAGCTAGATCACCGCTCATCTGCGTACCACCACAAGTGACAGTGTTCGAATCTCTCTCCTTGGGATCCGTAGCATGCCAGTGATAATGAGTGAGACAACTAGACCATGATCACAAATGAACCACGAATAGAAGTGCATAATGCAATCTCTTATTTGATGTTTATTTCCAAGCTGGTTTTGCAGGATATCATCAGGTTTATATCTACGTACACTGATTTAATATCTGCTTATCATTCTCATTGCTTCATCACCACCCACCCCACCTCACCCTCTTTTCTGTTTCAGAAACAATGTTCTCCACCTGTGGCCTTATTTGATCGAGGATTTACGTGCTTTGGGTGCAAAAACATTTTTCGGCAAATTCTGTGCCGGTTCCATCGACCATGTCAGTAAGTCGTCCTGTCCGATCGTATCACAGACTGNNNNAATTTCTCTCCAACTGGGATTTAGCTCCTCTGTCAAGCGGCTACCGGGACAATACAGGCAATGTCGTGGAGCCAAAAGTGTGTATTTTGTATTTCGCACATACATGTCGAAGGTGCCAAACGCCCAGGGTGCCCAATCGAGTCGGTGATCACTGCCACAACCAGGAAGGTTTGGGTGGGTGTGGTTCGCGCTCCTCTTCTTGGTTGATTCGGACTCAAAGTCTTTGGCTAGTTACTTTAGATGAACTGCCAGTGGTTCATCAATTCGGCTATAGCCCTAGATGTTGGCTTTTCACCCTCTCATTTGGATGGGAAACACCGCCACGCGAAGGCAGTGAGTAAGGTTTCTTCAGCAGATGCTGTTTAGTACGCCTGGTCGCTTTGTGCATCTTGATAGGTGGAGATTCGCATGAGCGTGGCCCAGCGACGAAGGCGATACAGCTCATGTGGTACGGGCATCTATACTGTTTCCCGTGACTTTGGCACCAATTCGTTTACTGTTTGGCGCGAAAGTTCCAACCGCCAGACTATATTTTTATTAAATCAAAAGGGGTCTTTTGAAAATGATCGACGACCGACGGTGGGGAAAAATAGGACGGTTGCAAAAACCATGGATCAGACGGAGCCTTAAATGAAAACTGAGTCAGTCCGTCCGCACATGTTCCGGGAATAGTATCAGCCAGGGGATTATTGCTGCAGTGTGTATTCGCTTCGAGCATTACCTCGGCCTAGTAGTAGAGGTGATCTTAATAACACTTGAAGGGCTATTATGTTCAATCTGAGCTTGTTTTGTGTGCCTTGTTGTCTGACACTACAAATCTCAGTTAAAATAACTCGACGTATCTAGAACATACTTTCGCTCTGAGCGGACCTCCTGAACCAATTTTAGGTAACCTTCATTGCTTTATGCATTTCCTGAACACATTGATTGTACCAAAGTTTGAATCATTACCGGCGCGTATTTTCCAACTGATGTACAGTAGCTGTCGATCGCGCCTGTTCCCGTGATGGGAAGGTTCAAACTCGCAACTTGGTAGTACGGAATTTGTGAGCGTCGTTCTTAGACCCGTCTATTATAGGTGAACCTTGCTCAACACATGCTGCTTGTACGTGTAACTCACNCCCCCCCCCCCCCACACACACACACAAAAATAACCTGTCGGGTACATTCTGGCTTGTGTACTGAAAACATTTCGCATCCAGCTTTGCTATCGCCCGGTTCAATATCCCATCATAACCTTATGTGGTTCACCACTCCAAGTCCCGGGGCTTAGGTTACCGGTTTCCATCACTGAACAGCAGGTGTTCATGACTATGGAGTTCACCCCATCTGCTGTTCATCATACAAAAGTGTGTAATTAAAAAAATATCCTGTAGAGAAAATCAATTTTCAGTTTTTGCGTACCAGCCCACCAAATTTCACGATCCCTTATCCACCAGTTTGTGGAGAAGTTGGAAAAATCGGTAGTGCTTCGAAATGGTGTCCCCTCCCCCGTCTCGAAACCTGACATGCGATAACAACGTGGGGTTCGAGTACGGTTGAGTAGTAAATCGGTTCGCGTGTTGGATGTGCGCATCATTACCCACGTGTGTGTGTGTGTGTGTGTGTGCATCCGTGCGGTGACACGCATTCGCCTGTTCTTTCTTTCCGGGCAAACGGTTACGTGTGAACTGTACCACACGCCCATCCGGTTAGCGCCCCCACTCTCAATTTGTTGCTTGTGTTTCTATCCGAATTGTATATTCCATTCCGGTGCTCGAATATCATCAAAATTATTACTTTCCATCCCGTCCCGTCTCCCGTTATCATCGATGTGTCTCATTCTCTACTGTCAGTGCGCAGCCAACTGTATAGTGGGTTATTTTCAGGTCACATAGTGACTGATGCATTCCGATAGCCAGTCTCACTGTTATCACCCGTGACAGACAGTTGCTGTTACTGCTGCCATTTGAGTCGTCTCACTGTTGTTGTTTTTTTCTCGATTTTCCAAGTCCAGTTAGTTACCAATGGGAACGAGTATCCTAGGGATATTTGTTTATAAAGACCAGCTGTTGAATTTGTCTATCACGTGATATCTCACACCAAAAATGTTCATATTGTTGTAGTTTTCTTTGTTTCAACACAAAACTGCCAGTTGAGTAAAACCCAAGCGATTGATTTTCTCCTAAGGAGTTTCGATCATGGACCTCAGTCAACCAAGACGGTGATTCAATCGAGTCTAACTTTTTTGAGACGGGGCTTACTGACAAGAACACCGTAGTGCTCAAACGAACCGAGGTGTTCGAGGTCACGGCCCTCCTGGAAGCTGCTTGGATATCGGGCTATTCCCGCTCCGTTTACCAAATAGCTCCGGTTACTGACTTTTCTGCTGTTCGCTTTAGTGGGAACACATTGAGTTAGACTTGCTATCCATGACGATAAACGCAATTCTCTAAGGCGTTTCTCTGAACAGAAACACTGGTAAAATGACACGAATTGTTGAAAGCTTTTTATTGAATTCTTAGAAATCGGAGTTAATGTATTGATCGCATTGTGTTGATGTCACTCGTTGGCAGTTCTTGAGTTCCCTATCCGCTTCAGACATTTTTTATTCATATAGTGGCGTTCGTGCGTCTTCTCAATTTCGTTGCAACCTTAGTCCACTGGAACTCTCCATTTTTTATTTATTTCTACGTTCAACTTTCTTGTCTCTCTCTCTCTCCTATTGTTCATCCAAATGGACAACCAAAAGACAGCGACCAAAACTGGCGCTCAAAATCGTATGATTGAGGGTTTTTCAAACTGAAACTGATAATAAATGACAAAAT